ACCTTTCTAGTAATACTTTTGTGACTTTCAGTAAAGATCTACACAGCAACAAAGGAGAAATTCTAGGGATAAGTGAAATAGATTTAGAAGCAACAAAGACCACGTGATTCTGAAAATAATAATAATAATAACAACACCAAAATGCGAATGGATAGCTAAACTACCGCATGACTTTCCCTGGGGGTCTGCAGCGAGACACCAACCCCGCCCTTTCTTGCTCGCTGTATAAAAGACGACGCCCGAGCACGGGCACCACAGATCCTCTCGAGCATGACTAACGTAGGCATGAAGGTACGTAATGAGCAGGGGACTATTCCTTGATATCCAAATGCTTTCACCTTTGATACATCGAGTGCTATTGATTTCGATCAATCATCTAGATCGCCGACTACATTTAGTAATTAATCAAGGATTTTACATTGACTATCGGAATAAATTGCTACCACTATTACACCTATTGCAACAATAAGTTATATTCCATAAAAAACAGCCTTTTACGTAGTTTCGTTTAAATTGATTTCCGATTAATTCTATAAATATATATTTACGACATGCCAGGTAGCGGTTGTAGTCCTCTCGCTGGCGGCGCTGGCTCGGGCGGCGCCTCAGGAGGGCTACAACTACCCGACGCCCGGGATTCAAGGACTGCCTCTGGCCGGATCCGGATCGGCTTCCGGACAGTTCTCTTCCGGGTCCGGCTTCGGCCAGGACCAATACCCTTCCGTGCCCGCCCAGTACGCCTTCCAGTGGGACGTCAACGACGCGCCTTCAGGGAACTTCTTCGGCCACGGCGAACAGAGAGACAACGACAACACTCAGGGAAAGTAAGTCAGCTCAGGAAACAGCTCCAGGAAGATATATTTGTTCCGCTGCTGTCATAAGATAAAGCAAAGCCAGGGAAGCCATCGTAAGGGGGGGGGGGGGGCTCTCAATCGTCGTTACATCCCATTCTGTCCACAGGTACTACGTGCAGCTTCCTGACGGTCGCCGCCTGGTGGTCGAGTATTA